TTTTCTCTCGGGCTCAGATTTCCATTACTAACTTCATTTACGTTCCCCAGTAATCTACAAGAAAGAAGTGGTAGTTAAAGAAAGAAAAGAGAAACAAGAAAACAAGAAAACATGAAAACAAGAAAGTGGAAACTGGTATACTTATCTTATTATACCAGTATTGTTTTCTCCAAGGCTTAGATCTCTGTTACCAACTTCATTTATGTTTCCCCGTGACCTACAAAAGATAGTAGTTAGAGAAATGAAAGAAAAGAAAAACCAAAAAAACAAGAAAACAAGAAAATAGAAACTGGTATACTTATCTTATACCAGTACCATTTTCTCCCAGGATCAGATCTCCATTGCTGACTCCATTTATGTTCTCCGGTAACCTACAAGATAAAGAAGTAATAGTTAAAGAATGAAAGATAAAACAAGAAGACACAAAACAAGAAAGTAGAAACTGGTATACTTATAGTACTATTTTTCCGGGATCTTATTACATTTCACCAACAATGCAAGCCTGAAAAGAAGACGATGTTAGTAAAAGAACACACAGCGAAGTAAAAGAAAATTTATGAACTGATACTTGTCTTTGACCTTCATTTCACCTGTACTAGCGAAACACTAATCTAAAGAGCCATTTTTATGAAACCAAAAAAAGTTAAATAAAAAAAAATTAATTAAATAAAAAAAAAAAAAAGTTTAATAAAAAAGTTTATAAAGATAATATTAAAAATTTCTTGATGTTGGATGTTGGACAATGTCTGCCGGACAATGTCCAACATCCAAGCATTTAATTGGGTGATCATTTCAAGACTGAAATACTCATCCAATTAAATGCTTGGACGTTGGACATCGTCCGGCGGACATTGTCTGTGTCTGTCATTTTTTGTGAAACTGGTTTAAAGATAGGTAGTTTCTCTTACATTGTTATGTCTTTTTTTTTTTTTCTCGACTTGAGCTAACCGGTTTTGATTTCACTATTTAAACTCTTTCTTTTTGTAGGTTGGATTGGTGTCGAAAAAGATAAAAAGAAGGCCTTCGAATATTAGGACTATTTGGCTGTAACTGGTAATGCTAAAAAAAAAATTAGATTAGCCAATCACACAGGCGTGGACATTAGACAATGTCAAGCGGACTATGTCCGCTGAACGTCCGGTGTCCGCCACAAATTTGCAGACAGTGTCCGGTGACAATCGATATACGCGGACATGTGAGTGGACGTGGACATTGTCTGGCGGATATGGACGTCCGTGTCTAAAAAAATGATGTGGATACTGTCCGTGTACAACACTGGTCTAGCAGAAAGCTATAAAATTTCTAGAACTACTCTTTGACATGTAATCGAAATGATAGTTCTTCTAATCATTGGAGCCTATCTACTGTTTTGACTAAACATGAGGAAATCCAACTTGTCAAATATTGCATTAATATGTAAAAGCTTGGGTTTGGTCTAACTCAGTCTGGTGTCAATTATTGTGTAATAAAAATAATACAAAATAACAAAAAACTACATCCATTTGGTGATAATGGGCCAGGTCGAGACTGGTGAACCTATTTTATGAAAGATCATCTAGATCTTTTATTTTGTACACCCCAAGAGTTATCTGAAGCTCGGGCATAAAGAGCAAATGCAGTTATTATTAAAAACCATTTTGATAAACTCAACCAAATAATTGACAAAAATTTACTTATTGCTATGCAAATTTAGAACATGGACAAAACTGAGTTTGTTCTTGTGCCTAAACTAAAAAAGGTTATTGCGAAAAAAAATACACAGCAAGTCTATAAAGTTGCACATAGAAATTCATATGAACATATTTCTGTTGCCCTCACAATTTCTGCCGCCAGATCATACATTCCTCCCTAATTATTTATAAAAGCGTTTATATAATTTCTGGTTTGTTAGATGGTGCACCTTCAGATAGTAATACAAATTGAAAATCGAATTAATCGATTAAATAACTAATCAATTAGCCAACTAATCAATTAGTCGATTAATCAACTGATTATCAGGCTGTTCCAGTTGCTAATTTATATGTATTTTACCAAGATTCAATTATTATTTTATTTAACTAATTGATTAGTTGACTAATTGATTAATTGATTAGCCAACTAATTGATGAGTTGGTTATTTGATTAGTTGGTTAAAACTTTTCATTAATTTGTATCATTACCTTTAGAAACTGTAATGGGTTTTACCAATACTAGATACATGCACAAAGAACTTTTCCAAATGTATTTAACCTATTTTAACAGTTTAATACCACCTTCTTGTTCAGTTTTATTAATGCTTGATAGCCACAAAAGCTATATAAGCTACATGAGTATTGATTTCTGTCACAAAAATAGAATTTTTCTTTACGTGTTGTCACCCCATACTACACATGTTTTACAACCTTCAGAAATTCCTTTTGCAAATTAAAAAATGAATATTCTAAGGAATATGACAAATATAAAAATAATAATAATAGTAAAATAATAACAAAACATATTTTCGTGCAGATTTTTAACTTAGCTTTCCTTAAAAGCTATACCCATCAGCTATTTGCAACACCTACAAGAACACAGGAATATGGCTATTCAATTCTGAAGCTATTATTCAGATCGTTTAGACCCTTCTTTGTCAACAGAGCAATTTAATATCATACTTTTAACTAGTCAACCTCTTATACAACAGGCTAAGTCACTTTCATTACCTTCAAATAGTCAATCTCCAATGCTGCTTTTATAATTATCTATTCACCTACACCTTACTCGTTCAAATACTAACCTATTAGAAAAAGAAAATGAGATCCTTTTAAATGAAAATGATTTTCTTAGATATGAAAACAAAATATTGAAGGTTCAGTTTGCAGCATTAAAAGAAGAATTGAAAGCTTATAAAAATCTTGGAACATGTTCTCTATATTCTGCCTTCAAATATCTGGCCCTACAAATTTCATATATTAAAGTTCAAGTTTCTTCAAATCCCAATGAATCTGAGTCGCTCTCTCTTAAAAAAAGAAAGACTCTTCCATTTGCACAGCTTCTTACATCTGAAGAAAGCTGGCAATAGCTGAAATCAGCGAACGAAGAAGCAGACAAAAAAATCACAGAATTTAATTGAAAAAAAAAATAGCAGTCCAGAAAAAAAAAGAACAGGAATGAAAAAACAAGAAAGTGAAGATCGTAAAAAACAGAAAACAAAATAAATATAAGAAATAATATGTATAAAATCGTCAAATAAATATAAAAAAAAATTTTTTTTATAAATTTAAAATTGGTCACAATACTCCCACCCTCTAAAATCTTGATTTTATATTCTCTTTTGCGCATTAACCATTTATGCCTAAAATGTCTAATGTATAAAGATCTTTTTTATTGCATTTTGTTCAATATAGATCATAGTTTGAATAGTAATTGCTATATAAATTTTTATATGTTTGGTAAAAAGTTTTGTTAGTAGAAACTTTAACTTGGCCAGAATACCCCCATCTCCCTTATATATAGTTAGTTTTTTTTTTTTTTTTAATATTTACCTTCGATATTAAGTGCTAAATTCATTGTGAAAAGCTGGTGTCTTTAGTTAGTTTTGCTTTAACATTTTTAAATTTTCTTTACAAAGAAATTATGCTTCTAATTTAACAGTTTTTATTATTAGCTTTTTTTTCTCTTTTTGTTCTATTCGCTTTAATGCAGTCAGCAAATGTTTAGTTTTTGAAGGACGACCTTTTCCTATAATTTTTGCTGATACTTTTATATCAGAAAGTTTAACTTCTGGAACTTCCAATATATTATCAAGTTGGTTTAAAAGAGAAGATTTTTGTTGTTCATCAGAAAAGCCCATATATCATGTTTCAATCATATAAAGCTTAGACTTGAGAGAAAAAAAGTATCAGGATTAATTAAAGATATATCTTGAGCTACAGGACTGGAATCTGGCTGATCCTAATCTGGAAATAACAACCATTCTTTTGAAATACTCAACAACATAATAGGATCTTTCACTAAGAGTATGTGACAACAAGGTATATTATAATTAATATGTAATTCGCATAATCAAGCTTCATATGTAGTTGCTTCAAGAAGTTCAATCTTAATCTTGTTAAGTATAAATTGTAACACTTTTCCTAAAAGTGGCCCTAACTGATCCTTATCATCTTGCGTTAACAAAGAATCAATACTTATAGATTCATTCTCATATTGTAAAGAATTTTCTTCATGATACAAATACAACCATCTATCTAAAGAAGTAAAAGCTTTCGTCAAACTTTCTGAAGCCTCAATAGCATATTTTATAGCCAAATGTACTCCTTCGACATGTTGCATTATCATTGCTCCGAAATGCCTAACTTAGCTTATATATA